GGCGACCATGGCTTTTGTGCTTTCCCCTGTTGAGCGTTCCCCAGAGACCACCTCCATAACTTCGTTCAGAGAATCGTTTGTCAGATTTTGAATGCAGATTTAAAATCAGCATCACAAAATACGCCTAGCAGTATAGGTCCCATTTCAAATGGACCGAGATAACCTCGTGAATGTCTTGCAAAAAGCTGCGTACCACCGTTAACGCCTTCCATCACCGTCTTGGGCTTGATTGAGAGCATAAAGCAACAGATCTCAGTACCAATGTACTGTTTTGATGAGAGATTAGTGATAAACACTTTTATTGATTTGTTTTGCTTTATAGGCTTTCTATTCGGTTTCGGGGAGGTGATATCCGTGTAATCATGATTTTGGCCCACCCTGTCGAAATGAGTAGGCCGGGCCTGAGTGGCCTAATACCAGCTTCTTCAGGCCACTCTTTTGTTCCGAATACAGCTCGAATCGATGTAGTAGAGAATGGGATCGCCACTAAACATTAAGGCCAAAATTGAAGCAATACAAGGTACGGTAACGCAGAAGCAGACTGTAGCTCTGGATGTGATACGATTGTCAGCAGGCGAAAGGAAATATGTGACAGGGAAAGAGATAATATTCTCAGATTTGATATGACGTTGACAAGCGAGAACTCGCTCAGACACCAAGTCCATTGAATATGTACACTCTCTGGAATCCTTGGCAGAAAAAACCTTGCATTGTAGTCAAACAACTTCGAATCTCCCAAGACGTGCCCTACAGTCAAGCCCTTTCCGACAGGGGATTTTATTATTCTGTTACATTTATGCTGCAGAATAGTTAATTAAGGTCAGTTTGCAATCAACGGCCTTGGTGATCAATCGATATGCCATTGATGGTCAGTTTCTACACCTACATATCGATCAATACATCGATCCACGTCTGTAAAATTTTTTGTAGCGATGCCGAGTAAGGAAAAAACTCGAAGACACTTCAATAAAAACAGTATTTAATATTAAATGAACAACTGTAGGATAGAAAATCAAAAAGGTGCCAGACATTTCAAGCATACTGCTCGTTCGGGTATAATAGTGGATTATTCAAATTTTTTACGCAGGGAGTGTTAGACCGAAGGTTATTACTCAATCAGAAAATCACGTGAACAGGGGATGGGATGAAAAGTAGCGGAATTCTGAGGACCATCCCGAAAAGAGGGGAATGGTTAATTTGAGTAGCCTGCACTCTTGGCCTTGCAGCTTAACTTATGAAGATTAAAGCTTTCACCATATCATCTCCACTTTCTTGCCTTCAGACTGATCCAGCGTTTGAAAACTCCTACAGGAGTTGCTAAATTTCATATAAAATTTGAATCAGCTTCGCAGGAATGAGTAGACCAGCGATCTTGAGATTGAGTTGGTTGGTAATGAAGCGTCGTCTTTCTTCAGGACTCACCCCCGAAAACCGGCAAGATCAGAGCAATTGCAGGTTCAAATCATAGTACGACCGTGAGAAATAATGGCGCAGCCATTGTTCTGCTCAACTCAGTACTTACCAAGTATTCATGGTTCAGTTACTTGTATGTGGAGCGCCGACATTGATGATGTGGAGTCTCCAGGAGCGGACAGAGGACAGTCGATCTTTTATCGCGAACAAGATATTGGGTTGTCCGAAAAGTTTCCGCCGATTTTTGATTCATCTTTGAATGAAAATTCCTAGAAGAAGAAATCCATTGATTGAACAATATATCCTCCATTCTGTTGAGTAAGGATTTGCAATCTTCCTGTAGATTCCAGTTCCCCTCTTTCATAGCAGGTTCCAGAGCTAAAATCGAAAAACCATCTCAGGTGCTTTTTGCAGTCCTCTAGCGGATTGAACGATTTTCCATTCAAAGAATTTTGCAGAAACTTAAACAAGTGGTATTCTGATGGTGCTATGTCTGGAGTATATGGGGGGTGTGGTAAGACATCCCACCCAAGCTTTAGCAACTTTTGACGAGTGGCCAAAAATACGTGTGGCCTGGAGGTACCCTCTTAGAAGATTACGCCCTGCGATGGTCACTTCGGGTCGCTTTTGGTCTATC